GGAGGGAGCATGATGGATGTGAGGGGGGGGGGGTCTTGGTTTCGGGAGAGAACAGGGGGAAAGGGGGGGGGCCAGGGAACAGGCGGCCAGGGACGGAATGGGTATCACCCACCCCGAGAGTCACCATCGCAGCTGCCAGCGCTAGGAACCCCATGCTAGCCATTCTCTCCGAGAAGTTAACGAATATGCTTGCTATTCCGAACATGACCCGCCAAAGGAGGAGGCAAATGATCACTCCACCTGCTCCCACCAGAATCAAGTTATTCCTTTTCCAGAATCCCTCCACGTGTAACGCCACAGCTTGTCGATACTTGAGCCCAGCCTCCTTGGCTGCCACTGCTGGCGCTAACCCCCAACCCTTCATGATCGCAAGAGCTTTCTCGGATACTCCTCCTCCCGCCGCCCCCTTAGTGCCACGTGGCGCTAAGCTCTTTGTCGCGCTCGGGGCGATTCTTCCTCCTACCGACGACGACGGCGATAGTCGAGCCAGCGGGGATCCCGACGACTCCGATCTCGCGGGAACGGCGTCGGCAACACGTGGCGGGTTCTTCGTGAGTGACTCGATGGCTTTCCTTGTCCTCTCTGCAGAACCCGGAATGACAGAGGACAAGGAGGAGGAGGTGCCTCCCTTCTTGCTCTCACCTGTTGGGCCGAAGATTCGTCGCATTGTTGCCTTCACCCGCTCGCTCCACGTCTCCGTCGCCGTCGAATATGCTCTCCCTCTCCTCTCCGTGGCCATCCCCGCGCCACTCCCACCCTCCCCAATTCTTCCCCGTGGCAGTGCGCGGGAAACCCCCAATCCCGATCCCCCCAGCCCACGTGGCACCACCACTTCCCCCCCTGCCGCCACCGCCGCACCCGTTGTGCCAAATCGCCTTGACTCTGGCCCGATATGCATTTTTGGAGTTGATTGGTTTGCACACTGTCTGATCGTTCCTCCTCCTCCTCCTGCCAATCGCCTCCCGGCCATCGGCAACAGGACTGTCGCCGACTTCACCGTTGAATACATCTTGCTGGAGGTAAAGGATGCCACGTGTCCCATTCCCTGTGGAGCTGGGAATCTTGGGACAGAAGGAGGGAACTCTCTCGGTAGATGTCTCCGAAGAACTCCCCAAGGAGAGAGAGAAACACACGAGGAGGATATGGATACTACTGTGCATCCGTCGATGGCCGTCCGATGAGTAGCGTGTGTGACGACCGTCGGATTCGTTCCCACGACCAGATTCTTGGGGACACCGGTAAGGTGCTGGATGTCCGCCGCCGCAGGAGATTGCAGAGAAGATTCGCGAGCGGTCCTGGCCAATGTCGACGTGCCACGTGGACATCGCGGTCGAGCTCCCGACAGCAGCCAACTCCATGCCGCCGTCGCCGCACCGGACCCGTCCCCGACACTCGCCACCTGGGATGGCCCCAGAGGAGAGGAGATGATGACTTCTCCGGCCTCAGAACACAGAATTGAACTCCCGCCGCTCTGCTGCTGGGCCAACGAGGGGGAGGAGGGGGAGGAGGGAGAGGAGGACGATGAGGAGGAGGAGGGAGGAGATCGACGGGTAGGAGGGCGTCTGCATCCGATTCCCTCCTGACGGAGACAATGCCAAGAGCGCATGGCGTTGCAGACAACGCCCCGTCTGACCGGGATCCCGACCATGATGATTAGCCGCGGTTCAAACTTAAGAAAAAGAAAAGAAAAGAAAAGAAAAGAAAAGAAAAGAAAAGAAAAAAGAAAAGAAAAGAAAAGAAAAAAGAAAAGACAAAGGTTCCTCAAAACCAGACGCTCTTTTTCCTCTGTGGAAACACACCTGCCCAGCCCTCCTCCTGCTGCTCCTCCCAACTCACGATCGGTTTGAGTCAGCCACCCGGCATTCTAATCGATCAGCTACGCAGCATTCCATTTAATCAATCAATCAATCAATCGGCCCGCCCCCTCAGTCAGATTCGGCATATCTGCAGTGTCTTGAGATGAATATGCGAGCGCCCGCGCAAACACTGTTCCCGCAATCAGACACGTGGAGCGGAACATCAATCAAACCACCACCATTCCCATTCGCATCAATCAATCAATCAATCAGTCCGCCAATCGATCAATCAATCAATCAATCAAGTGTGAATCAGCACCGATTCGGCCTACTTCCTTTCAGATTTAATAGACAAGCGGCACTCGTAAAGAAACCACTTCGCCGACGCCGGTTCGGACGAAAGCGATGTCCTCCCCCCCCCCCCCCCCCCCCCCCCCCCCCCCCCCCCCCCCCCCCCCCCCCCCCTTCTGTTACTCCTCTTCCTCCCCTTCGCCCCCAATCAACAATGAACGGCGCAGAAGGCGCAGTGCGCCCCGCAAAGAATGCGTCAGAAGGAACAAGGCGGGAACATGTCAAGGGTGAGAGGTGTTCATTCTCCCGTGTCCTCTGTTTCATGCCTGAAAGCGATCACTCGTCATATGGTCATACACGACGCTCGACGCCAGGTCATATGGTCATACACGTGGCACTCCACGCCAGGTCATATGGTCATACACGTGGCGCTCGACGCCAGGTCATATGGTTCATACACGTGGCGCTCGACGCCATGTCGTCGTCAGACACGTGGCGCTCGATGTCTTGTCGTCGTCAGACACGTGGCGCTCGATGCCACGTCATTCATTGCCATACACGTGGCACTCGATGGCTGTCAGTGACCACTGGTCATCATGGTCTTGCACGGATTACATCGCTGCATATGCGGCCGCGGCGCTCAACGCCATCGCTGGATGCGACACGCATGCATGCTGGCCACACGTACGCACACGTGGCGGGCATGAGAAGGCCGGTGAGAGCACACGACCATTTTCGCCGATAGACCAGAGGCGCGCGAAAGAGGAATGGAACGGGACTGGAGGGATGGGGCTTCCACCTGCTCGATCCGACGTGGAATCGACCGAACAGGATATCAGGCATCGCCACACCACTCTCGAAATGTGCAAAATGAGAACGAACTTCTCGCTAGAACATGGCTAGATGCACCCGCCACATTTTTGTCTTTTTTTCAGTTTTTGACAGTGGTGTGGCCTGGCCGATCTTGTCATGTCGATCATAGCATGACAGGGAATCGTTGACGGTCGGAATCGCGACAGCTTGGAGAAGAGAGCTGGGCGACCAACAAGAACTCGCGCCCAAAAAAAAGAAAAAAAAGAACAAAAAAAAAACTTGCGCCTTTGACAGCTGTCAGAAAAAATTGGAAAGTCGGGGGTCGACAGTTTACCCCCCCTTCACCACACAGGCTGTCGAGGGGCGAGGTTTTTGGTCATGGCCGAATGGACTCGGCAAAAAAAAAAAAAAAAAAAAAAAATGGACTCCGCCTTTCGACAGGGCATGGCTGTCACGGAACAGTCCCTGACAACAGAAATTCGAACGCAATTCTGGAAAGGCAGGTGGGGCACTTTCGAATTTCCGTCTCCTGCAGGCGGGAGGAAACGAATGGGGGAGGGTGGCTGTCGAGGGTACATCCACTACTCCTAATAAGGCTTAGACAGGGGACCTCTGCAAACATAGCTTTGTTGTCTCCCTCCAGCCATCAGAGGGGATGCATGTTGCCCCCCGCCCCAACCACAGTGGTCAACACCTGTTGAAATTTTTTGAGCCGCAATTCTTCGAAAGTCTGTGTGGTAATGCAAAATTGTCGAAAACCTGGTTTTCGACAGCCTGTGTGGAGAACCTCTTTGTCCCGGTGTCGCGCGCGGCGGTCCCACACCCAGACGTAAAGCAATTTTCATTGTCAGACCTCACAGTCGTATTATGCAGGAGTTTTGAATCACTTTAGCAAAAATACCACTCCGCCCGTGCGCGTGTGCTATACCTCTCGGGAATCTCTACGACAGGTTAGAGATTCCGCGAGGTACAACTTACCTCCACCTGCGGGAGCTGTTACCATCCCTTAGGTGGGCATATTCCTGCTGAGCTACTGACCCATATGCGAAGGCTTTTACATGCAATCGCAGAAGCAGGCCAGCCGAGGGCGTTTTCTCGATCGTCGTAGCATAGGCATACGCGCGGTAGAGCGCCTTAAGACAGACCCGTATATCGCGTATTTAGGTGCTAACTTCCCCGGACCGATTATCTGATCAGGTCGACTTTTCTAGACAGTCTTCCACGCTTAGCTATTTATGTTAGTGAGTCTACGTTCTCTTTTGTTGGTCATATGAGCCTGTGAGAATAAATTTTTATAGTAGTTTCTCATTCTGTCCATATCCCAATAGTGCCTACACCAGTAACCAGCCTAAACTCAGGCCGGAGTATGACCTTGTTCATAAATATATAAGTATAAGTGTATATATATATATATATCAAAGAGGAGCGAATGAGCGGTGGACCTCACTTTTTCGCAATCGTGGTGAACCCGTCCGAATATCTCAGATATTTCCCCAATGTTCAGATGACACATCACTGCCCAAACACCTGTGCAGATGCGAGAAGACCACATACACACATACAAAATGTCAGCACAAAATGTACTACAAAAGTCAACCTTTAACCCAATCATAGCAAGTCCCTCACTCCCCCAAAACTTGAAACAACATTTTTTCCTACTCCTGACTCTGTTGCCCCGCCCCTCACTTTTCAAGGACCTTCGAGAGTAACCAGGACAATTCAGGCTTAAACGCAGGGGAAAGATTTGTCTGTCCTTTTTCTGGTTTTGTCTTAGGTGTGGGTGTCAAGCCATGTGGAGGTTGAGTCGGAATTCTACCGACCTGTTATCCAATGATAACAGAATTGCAATCTCTTATGGTTCTTTTCGTAATTCTCTCCAAGGGCGATAAACCTGTAGGCACAACACAGTCCGAAAGAAAGTTTAACACCCGTTCACCGAGGTCTTTGAAGATTGATTCATGACCTAGAGGTAAACGCGTACCGGTGACCCCTTTTGTCTGACTTCTATCCTTATCTAAACGCCAGGCCATCGCCCCGATGACCTAAGTAACAAACATAGTTCACTCCCAGCTCCTTTGACTCAGTGATCATACAGTCTTCCCTTTTAAAGGTCATTTACCAAACCTCATATCTTAGTACCACAAGCAATATCGTCAATTCAACCCAGAGAGGAATCATACGATAGAGATCAAATCAAAGTTTCAAGAATGATAAGTTTCTCAGGCCAAGATGTCACTTATCATCTCCTTACTTGAATCTGAAATAGCTTGTTAGTGATGAATTGATTCAGTTATATGGAAAGTTGATATTCGTTGGTAGACCGATCAAGATCTACTCATCCTTTATCGGCGTCGGCTTTTGAGGGCATTTCTCCTCCTATCTACTATTTTGCAACAGATCAAGTCAGATGGTAATAAGGCAGGTTTCTCGAAGCCTCACTCTTCTTATCACACTGATCTTTGTTATTACAGTGATAAGGAAGGCTTCTCGGAGTCTCGCTCCTCTTACCACACTGATCTTTGTTATTACAGTGGTAAGGCAGGCTTATCGGAGCCTCGCTCCTCTTACCACACTGATCTTTGTTATTATAATAGTAAGCCAGACTTCTCAGAGCCTCGCTCCTCTTACCACACTGATCTTTGTTATTA